ACAGTTCCTATCTGAGGTGATATTCTAGTGAAAAGAGGAAGTAAATCCAAGAGAAAATCATGAAGAAGCAGCAGTGAGACCTATACAATAAAGAGGGTGAATGTTACAGAATGTAAGTCATACCTCACTGTGCTTAACTGAAGGAAGCGCAGGAGGAGGAAGAGGTGGAGGAGGAGTGAGAGGAGGAGGAGGTGGAGGAGGAGCAGGGGGAGGAGGAGGAGGTGGAGGAGGAGGAGGAGATGACAGCATTATAGTCAGGATCAAACAAGAAAGCCTGCTATCATTCCTGTTACTCAGCAGCTATCTGGAGATCCTGTGCAATGCAATTTAAAAAAAAAAAAAAAGCAAGCAGTGTAAATATTGGCAAGGATATAACCATTAAGATTTGTGAATGATAGGACATCAGAAAACTGACAAACCATGAGCCCTACTAAGAAAATTCAGCCAAGTGGCATGATTTAAGAGGCAAATATTTCAAATAATTTATACCCAGATTATATATAAAGGGCTCCTAAAAAAACAATAAGGAAAAGACAAGTAATCTAATAGAAGATGAGGGGGGAAGCACGTTTAAGAAATTCAGAAAAAAGAAAATAGCTTTGGTCAACACATTTATGAAAAGATGATCGATCTCACTAGCAATCAAGGAAGGACAAAACAAAACAACAAAATCTCTTCACCCATTAATCAGGCAAAACCTTTCAGTTGATAAGATCAAGTCTGGTAACACTGTGGAGAAATGGCTAACCTAATCCACTGCTGGTATGAATATAAATTTGCACAGTCTTTATGGAAACTTTTCCGCAGTATCTATGACAGCTGTGGATGCTTATGCTTTCAACCACGTCGCTGTGTGTGTGTGTGTGTGTGTGTGTGTGTGTGTGTGCGCACGCGCGCGCGCCCCGACTAGGAATCGAACTGGCGACCTTGCCGTGCACTGGACAACGCTCAACCAACTGAACCACACTGACCAGGGCAGCTTTTTTAAAATAATGAAACATTCCCATGTCTATCACTACAGAATGGTCAAGTAAATGATGGTCCATCTATTGTAGATGATGCTATAGTACAAGTAAAAAGAATGAGTTGAATATACACTGAGTGGCCAGATTATTATGACCACCTGACATAGATCGACTATGAAGTGAAAAATGAAAATTAAGTGGCAGCAACAGCAGATGATAGGATCTCTCTCTATAGAGATCCCCTCCGCACTGATAAAGTCTGCGGTGAGGTCTGTGATGGGAAGAAGTCGATAAGGGAGACTTTGGTTTTCTTTGTGCTTTTTTGTTTACAATGAAAATGTGTTCAAGAAATAAGGTGATTATTTGTTCCAATGTTCATAGAAGCATTATTCACAATAGCTAACGGTGGAAACATGTCCACCAACAGGTGACTGGGTAAACAAATTATGGTAGAAACATACAATGGGCTATCATTCAGCCTGAAAAGGGAAAGAAATTCTGACACGTGCTACCTCACGGATGAACTTGGAGGACATGATGCTAAGTGAAAGAAACCAGACATAAAAAGACAAACACTGCATGATGGCACTTACACGAGGTCCCCAGGGCAGTAAAATTCATAGAGCCAGATTGCAGAATGGTGGAAGCAGGGGCTGGCGGGGGAGTAGGGGGGGGCGGGCAGGAAGTAGGGAATGGAGAGTTTGTGTTTAATGGGTACAGGGTTTCAGTTTGAGATGATGAAAAAGTTCTGGACAGGAACGGTTTATAGTTGCACAACTACATGAATATCCTTAATGCCACGACACTGTACACTTGAAAATGTTAAAAATGGTAAGTTTTATATTATGTATATTTTACCCAATTAAAAATGATAAATAAAAATAGCGATGCGTGCCATTATAAAAGTAGTAATAATAATAAATAAAGTGAACTGAACTGATGCTGAAGGATCCCCTTCATTAAAAAACATATAGACTGGGCAATATATTACCAAAAAAATGTCCATATAGAACCAAGCTCAAAAGAAAGAATGGATCATACAGAAGTGCCGGAAACAACAAGGGAGCTACAATGCGGAGACGAAAGCGGAAGCCAGCCTGGAGGAGGCCCACGGAAAGCTCAGATGGACAGAGGCTCGGGGACTAGAGGCTGAAAACCGCACCGTCAACTCCACAAACTGGGCCTCAGCCTGTGGGAGCTGGTGAGGCAGTAAAGTGGGCCCCCTGCACAGCAGGGATTGTGGCAGGGCTGCTCCATCCATAACGGTACTTAGAAATACAACGCTCCTTAGGGGGAGCAGCACGGAAACCACTCACAGACAGCGAAGCAGGAAAAAGTCACACGTGAGTAATGAAGACCCTCAGCTTCTGCCACCGGTGGGTGTGGGGTCTAAATCGGCACCACTCGCCAGCATGGAAACTCGGAGCTGTAAGTTGAACATGTAAACCGTCCAAGATCCGGGAGACACTCGGGCCCAGCAGAGACACACGACCACGTTTCAGGGAAGGATGTTTGAAGGAGGCAGGAGTAGAGCTCTATCTGTGCCACTGATTTTGATATTAGCCTTTCCCTCGGAGCCTCTCCTAAGGCCCCCGCCCCAGCCTGTTTAATTGCATAGTTTTCCTCTCTGCTGTGAGCTCCTCAGAGAGTGGCGACACCAGCCTGCTCCTGTTGATTCCCCCCACTTCTAGCCCAGGGTCGAGCCCGTCGTGGCTCCATAAATAACTGTTGAAATGAATGAAATTAATGTGTGTGTTCTGTCGTGTTGTGGGAATTCACATTAGGAGTCTCCTGGGGAATGAGACTCAGAAGGAGCTGGAAACACGGCTGGTTCCCTCTTCCTCTCCTCCTCTTCTCTCTCGCCCTCCTGCTCCCCATCTGTGCTGGGAGGAGACAGCATCAATTCTCAACGCAATCAAGCACTGCCCCTAATTCAGCCTCTCCTGAGTACCATGAAGCATCAGTGAGCGTGGTACCTGTGCACCATCTTTCACTCTTCCCCCCGCTCAGCGTGCTCATGACCTGTTATTGAATGCACGCTGCAAGTATTAGCTCGTTTAATCCTCACAGCTTTTGTACTAGCCCCGCTCTGCAGAGGAAGAAGCGGAGGCTCAGAGAGGTGATATGACTTTCCCTGGCCACAAAGCCACAGACCGGCAGGGCCAAGGTTCAAACCCCAGACCTCTTAGATTCCAGAGCTGCAGTCGCCGCCTCTCCCACCAATCTCCCTCTGCTTCCTTCTCTCCTGCCCTCCCAGCCACGCTGCCTCTCGCTCACCCACTCCTTAGCTCACACTGTGTCTGAGTCACATATCTTTTGGCAGACAAGTGAGGCTGGTGGTGGGACATGGGTGGCCAGATGGGTGGTGAGTACAAGTCTGGGGTTGTCTTTTTGTAGCTACCAAGCATTATCCTGGGGAAGCACCTGGAGCCCATGACCTCTTGTGGGCCCCCTGCAGGGTCCCCCAGGTGAAGGAAAGAGCAGATGAGGGACCATCTGCAAATGTGTGCCTGTGAAGACTGGAAACTGGCCCTGGGCTGGCCTTGACGATCAGACGCAGAGCCTGCCTTCCTAGGACGGTGACAGTGGCTGAGGGGTGGGGCTTTCCTTTAAGACTCTGGGCTTCATGGCCTCAGTCCTATCTGGGAGGTGAAGCCCTGGTCTGGGAATCAAGAGACTAGAGATCTGAGTGTGATGCTGCCACCAACTTGGAGGACTTTGGGCAAGACATGGCTTCTCTGAGCCTTGGGTTACTTCACTTGTCTAATAGAACCATCACCCCAGGCCTGTCCATTCCTCAGGATGGGCCCTTTGCCAGGGGAAGGCTCAAAACCAAGGGGGCAAGATGAGGTGAGGAAAGGCACAGAGGCTCAGGCAAGTCAGCCAGCACCGAGAAGGCCAGCAGCAAGATGTGTTTTTCTCTTGGGCTGGGCCAGCGCATCTCCCCGAACAGCTCCTGATAGGATGGCCTTCCCGGGCAAGCAGCTCTGGCCCAGACCGTGACTGAGGCATTTCAGGACCAGGAGAGAAAGAAAAGAGGAGATGAGGAAGAGGGGAAATAGAAGGAGTGATATAGGGGGGGGGGAGGGAGAGAAAGAACTGGCCTCAGGATGACAAATACAGAGGTTAGCACCTACATCTGGGATAGGTGGGAGCCTCACACCAGTCCCACCTTAATCATATACAGCTCCTCTCTGAGCCTCGGTTTCCCCATATGTCATCTCAGATGTTACGACCGCCTCTGCTACATCCTCCACTTGCCTTTCAAAGCCTGGCTCCATAGCTTCATTGTCAGGAACCCTTCCTTGAGCCGCCCTCTCCTGCCTCCTTCCTAAATTCCTGCCTCTCACCTCTGGGCCCAACAACCTTCCACTTAAGCCCGACTCCCTGAGGTCTTGACTTACACTGTGAGACACATCACAAGCCAGGGGCCTCGCTTGAGTCACCTTTGGTCCCTCCTATAAGCACTTTACACACAGTAGATTTTTAACAAACATTCTGTTAGTGATGCAATGTGGTCTAATGGACAGATGGATGGCTGCTTAAAAGGATATGGCTGCTTTGTCTGCTGATTAATCTTCTGGTCAAAACTCGTCTCCATAAAAAGCCTCCTGGATTAATTCCCAGCCACAACTCTGTCTTCAACAACTCAGCCCAAAACGTAAGGCTCCCGCTCCTGCCCCTCTGCCCTGCTCCCTCTCAAAGGCCCCTCCAGGGGCTACCCTATTTTACCAAACAGATTCCAGCACCATAGGCCTGGCCTGGCAGTCCAAAGAGCTTGGACCCTGCCACCTGCCCTCAGTTACCCATTCTCCTGGGGACAAAGGACGCTCTGTGAAAGACCCTGAACCTTCTCTGTCACAGAAAACCCCACAAAAGTCTCCATGAGGGTTCCTGCAGGTCGCAGAATTCAGGGCTCACAGGCTCAGAGAGGGGAGGTGCCCAGACAGATAGAAGACCCAAGTCCTAGCACTTGGACCCGCCCTGCAATGTACATATGTACACACCCTGGTCGTGAGAGAAGCAGAATCTCACCTTGATGCTCCTCCAGTTTGCCCATGGTCTCCATCTGCTCCACCAGGTCATTCGAATTCCACTGGCTCATCCCGATGAGGATGGCATTCTTCCCTTCAGCCACCTCCTCTGTGGAAGGAGCAGAGATGTGCATGAGCAGGGAGGGCAGGGTATAGGTAGTCCTGACAGGAGCTTATATCTGAGGGAGTACTTATGCCTTCCTTTGACTTGAAGTGTCTGTAGTTATGACAGGTACAAGACATTCAGGAATTTTTCATTCAAAGAAAGTCACAAGAGAGGCTGAAAACCCACAGAAGGCTCCATTTCCAGTCCTACGAGAGATATTTCTTGAAAGGAAGTGTGCTTGGGGGTGGAGGGGGTCCTTGCCACCGCTAGCGGTTTTTCTTTGGGTCAGTGACTTGCCTTCTGAGCTTCAGTTTTTCCATCAGTAACATGGGGCAGGAAGTATCTCACTCACAGAGCTGTTGTGAGGACTAACCGAGATAATGGGTGTAAAGGCCTCGGTGCATCGAGGGTGGTCATAAGCGAGCGATATCACGGTCATTTCTTCACATGAGAAGTGAGTTGCCATCAGTATTTGAGTGGACCTGGATTTGAGTGGGGCAGGGGCAGCTCTAGAGTAACTGGAAGAGCAGAAGACCTCTGCTCTAAGCGAGCCCTGAGCTGTGTAGAACCCTTAGCCCACGTTGTAACTTTATGAACTTATGAATGCCTTCATTCCCCATCCCTAGTCCTCCCCTCAACCCTATCTGTATCCTTATTCTTTCCCAGTCTGAGCTTGGTGGTTACTCTGAGAGAAATCGATGGGGCCACATTCCCTAACCATGCTGAATACAGGACCCTGGGTCCCACACATCTGATGTAGGCCCTCATCCCAGAAAGGGGCATTTCCTCAGAACAAACCCACAGAAGTGGCCGCCCTCTCTCTTTGAAGGGCCTTCCTGGTAAAGAGCTTTGTGTCCTCCCTTGTAGAATAGACATTAAAGAGTGGTGAGGAGAATCCTCAAGCTCAAGATAACCAAAAATAAAGGGACGAGACCCATTTCACTGCCAAAGAACTTTACAGAGCAGGTGGGACCAATATGGTGGATCTGAAGCTTGGGGCGCTGTCCAGAGTTCTGAATCCCCCTAGAACTCAGTAATCTAGGACCCATGTCTGGCTGGGGTCTGGATCATGATGATGGTGATGATGATTCCTGAGTTATTTGATTTATTTGATTGCTTTAACAACACATCAAATCCTTACTATGCACTGAGATTATTATAGGTGCTTTTAAAATATTAATTCACTTAATTTTCATAAAATGCTAAAAAAGTACAATTATTATTATCTCCATTTTAGGCATGGAGTAGTTCAGGAAGTTGCCCAATATCACCGTCTAAAGCCAGAATTGAAACCTAGATATACTATTTCAAGAGTCCTTAAATCTTCCCAGCTGGTGTTGCTCAGTGGTTGAACATTGACCCATGCACCAAGAGTTGCTGGTTCAATTCCAGGTCAGGGCACATGCCCAGGTTGTGTGCCTGATCCCCAGTGGGGGGCATGCTGGAGGCAGCCAATTGATGTTTCTCTCTTATTGATATTTCTATCGCTCTCTCCCTCTCCCTTTCTCTCTCTAAAATCAATAAAAACATTTTTTAAGAGTCCCAAAATCTTGTCCTCCCGATGGCCTGCCATGGGCATCCTGTATTGGCTGCCCAACACTCCAGCCAGGCACCACTCACACCAGACAATTTACTCAGTGTGGTGTGTTCCATCCGGGCAGCAGTGCGCACCTCTTAGCAGCACTGTGCTCTGGGCAGAGCCCTGACCGGGTCCCAGTCCAGAGAGCGCTACACGTGAGCCTGTGCTTTGCATACATCCCTCAGCTCTTCCTGTGTTTTTCCCCCTTAAATGGGAATGACAACCCTAGTTTTACAACTCCGCCCAGCAAGCTGCCATGAGGACAATGACAAACTACATTTGCAAAAGCTTCACAAGCCACAATGCTGTGAACAAACATCAGGTAGGATCACTCTGGGGGAAGGAGGACACCAAAGGGTAAGAGCTCAGTTCAGTGTTATGTTGACTCTTTCCAATCCTGCTAGATATATGCCCTTTGACAATAACGTAGCTTTCTGAGCCTCGGTTTCCTCACCTATAAAATGACATCCCAGTCATGGCTATGCCATAGGATTGCCGTGAGGCTTAAATGAGACCATGAAGGTGAGGTGTTTACACAATAAGAGCACAGCAGTGGGTATCAGCACATGAAGATGACGGTCCATCATCACCTCCACCCCAGAGGATGTGGTGTATGCCCCAACATTCCCCACATATGCTGTGCTCTGCCCCTGTGACCCTGCCCCAGACCCAGAGGGGGTAATCAGCCTGTAGCCCACTGTGAGTGCTGTGTCTCCTGGCTCTCCCTTGCCCACTTGTTCATTCGAGCATTCCTTCTACAATGAGTGGACTCCTGAGCACCTACTGTGTGCAGTGTGACATGACCTCTACCCTAATTTATGAAATAAATAAATAAATAAATAAATAAATAAATAAATAACTCTGGTGCAGGAGATGAGCATGCTCGGTATGCAGTAGGTGCTTACACATCCTAGCTCTCGTTTTTCCTACAATGTGCAAGCCCTATTCCTGGGGTATGTATGAGGCTATCAGAACCCGAGGGTTCTCCCAGGCTCTGAGGTCGGAGCACGCCCACTTCTGCACCATCCTCGGCCTCTTTCCTCTCTTCCTAGTTTTGTGCATGACCCTCCTCCATCTTGCCCTTTTGGTCTTTTGTCTGTGTTTCTAGTAGATGAGCCTTCCTCTCCAACTCCCACCGTGTTCCTCTATGACTCAGATCTGCCCCACTCAGATCCGATCTTGCCAGATCCCTTCCATTGATCTCTGTCCCTCTTGGTCCTTGCATTTCTCTGTGCCTCTCAGGCTCCCAGTGCTCTCAGCCACTTCTGTCCCTCTCTCTGGGTCACCCTCAATCATGCTCCATACTCTTTGTCTTCCTCTCTCTTTATCCCAGCACCTGTCTCTCTCTCTTCTCTCTGGGAAGATGTCTCTGTCTTGATCACTCTCACTCTCTGGGTTTCTCTTTCTTTCTCTGGGTCCTGCCCCTCAGGAACTCTCTGCCCATGCAGGTCTGTCGTGCTTTCTCTGGTCTTCTCTCTCTCCTTCTGAGTCACTGTCTCTCTTTCAACTCTCTCTGGTTCGTGTGTGTGTGTGTGTGTGTGTGTGTCCCTCTCTCTAACCCTCTCTGGGTCTCCCTTGCTCTCTCTCCCTCTGCTTCTCATCTTTTCCCTGACTTCCTTGGGCTCCCTGCTCCTCCACCACATCCCTGTCTCTCCAGCTGCTCCCCACCCTCCCTTCTCTGTCCCCTGCTCTCAACACTCAGCCTTCAGATTCTCACTATGTTCCCTGAGAGGCAGTGAGAACACACACACACACACACACACACACACACACACACACACACACACGATTGCTCCTTTCGGAGTCATTCAGGCAAATCTGAGCTCCAGGTCTCCGCTCTACTTCCCCTCACTGTGGTACGTGCCTCCCATCAGGGCCCAGAGAGGCCACAAATGGCTTCTCTGGATAAATGTCCTGCTTATTGATTTTGCTTTTCGGCTTCTGGTGAGTGTTCCCTGCGCACCAATTCTCATCCCCGGTGGCCTCCGGTGTGGACACAGTGTCTGCATCTATGTCACTCCAACTGAGCCCGTCCCTGCCCAGACTAGGTGTCAGGCTGAATCCCATCCAGAGGCACCACAAACCTGGCCTGGACCCCAGACTGACTCCGACCCTGACCAAAGCCTGGATATACCCCTTTAAGCACAACCTCCGGTGCCGGAAGGAAAGCCTTTCCTCCTCCCAGGCCTGTTTCTGTGGGATCCAGGGGCCTTCAGAGCAGGAAATCTCCTTGCCCCACACCAGGAAGAGGTCACCTCCCGCTGATGGAGTGAGGGTGTGTCCCCTTCTGCAGTTGGCCAGTCCAACACGGAGCATCACCCTTTGCATCAGGCCCACGATGCCAGTTTTTTCAAGGACTTGGATGAGCATTGCTCTGGGCCTTCAGGAGACAAGATCGCTACCCCTCCCTAGAGCTGTTTGACACCAGCTCCATCCCCTCACCCGCGGCCATCACCCCTACTCTCTCTTCACTGCAGCTGAAAGGACCCAAATTCTGCCACCATGAAGCTGCTTTTCGGAATATTGATTTTAAACTGTTAAACAAAACTCAGACAGAACCTTTGACCCACCCCTCTTTCCTGCCCGAGAGATTCAGACAGACAAACCTGCTTTGGAAAGGTGAGTTTAGGGTGTCACCTTAGCCTAACTGGCATTAAGTGTGGTAAACAGGGGGCCTGTTAGCTAGATACCCCGTGTCCCATTATCTCTGAGTCATTTGGCAAGGATGTGCCCGCCATGTGCGGTCCACCTCCTTCCACTCCCTACAAATGGCCCATTCTCGCTTCTGAAACCTAATACCCTGTCCCCCCATCCTCCAACCTTCTCCTTTGTCCATAAATGTCTTATATGCCCAATGTTGCCTCCCTGTCTTTGGAATTTTCATGGAATTATCTTGCCCATGTAAACTCCTCGTGCACATGTCCTGAGGCTACTAGGTCAAGCCTGCTCTCCCGCCCCCTACTGGGGCAGCGGACTGACAACACCAAGTGGGCAGCCCCTTGCTCACTCTTGGCACCCACGCCTTTCTGCTCATTCTTCCGGTAAAAGCTTCGCGCTGGCTGTTCCCACTGCCCAGAACACTGTTCCCCCAGACACTCACATGGTTGATTTCTTGTTATTCAGTTCTCAGCTCACGGCCATATTTGAAGGCTTCTTACCATCAACCAGTCACTGTGTCACACTCCCTTATGTTATATTGGAGGGAGTTCCCCCATTTTTCAAACAGTATTACTGAGATGTAGTGACATTTAGTTAAGTCTACACATTTAAAATGTACAATTTGAGGGAGAACCTCTGTATCATTTACTAGTTGGGATGCTGCCTAATTCAGATAAAAAGAAGAATGTACAACTTGATCATTTTTGACATGTGGACACACCTGTGGAACCATCACCCCAATGGAGACAGTGAATGTGTACCCATCGCCCTCAGAAGCTTTCTCCTGTCCCTTTTTAGCCCTCCTTCCTGCCCCAGGCAACCACCGATGTGCTCCCGTCACTACCGATTTGTTTGCATTTTCTAGAGTTTTATATAAATGGAATCATACAATATGTACTTTCTCCATCTGACTCCTTTTACTCAGCTTGCTTATATTTGAGATTCACCCACGTGGTGCGTGTATCCGTGGTTCATTCCCTCTTACAGCCAAGTAGCATTTCATTGCATGAACGTTTATCTAGTCGCCCCCTGATGTACATTTGAGTTGTCTTTGGTTCAGAGCTATAACAAATGAAGCCGCTATAAGCACTCATGGCCATTTCCCGGTGAAAGATGCATGCTTTCCTCTCGGGTCAATTACCTAGGATTGGAAGGGCGGGCTCGTGTGGCAGTTAACTTTGATTGACTTTTTAAGAAGCTGCAGTCCACTTTCTAAAATGGTTGCACCATTATCCACTCCCATCAGCAGAGTTTGAACGTTCCAGTTCCTCCGTATCCTGATCAATTTTTTAAAAATATATTTTTGTTGATTTCAGGGAGCGAGAGAGAGACGGAAACATCAATGATGAGAAAGAATCATTGATCTGCTGCCTCCTGCACATCCCCTATTGGGGATCGAACCTACAACCTGAGGAATGTGTCCTGACTGGGAATCAAACCATGACCTCCTGGTTCACAGGTCGATGCTCAGCCACTGAGCTATACCAGCTGGGCCTGATCAGGTGGGGACAGAGACCACCCTCAGGTCAGGGTCAGGGCTCAGCCTGGCTGGAGAAAGGAGGCCAGGGAAATGGCCCTTCCAGGAATGCCCAGGAAGCTGGACACCCATGGCCTGGCCCGGATGCTGAGAGGGCAGGCCAGGTGGGGCCTGGACCAGCTCCTGGAAGCAGAGAAGAAGGATGGCTTCACCTCCTACTGCCTTTAGCCAAGGAAACATGCAGAGGCCTTGTCCAGGGAGTCCACACGGAGTATACAGGAAGGGGGGGAGGTGGCAACTCAGAACTAAAGAGGATTCTCTGGCCTGTGGAGCCGCTCCTGTGGCTGAGGGCTAGGGATGCTCTGCAAGGGCGAGGGGGGAGGGAGCAGAGATGCGAGGCTGGTGGGGAGTGCCGAGAAGTGGGGAACCAGCAAAGAGACAGAGAGTCTGGAATTCTGGGGCAGTGAAGAGAAGGAAAGACGGAGTGGGGAGAGCGGAGGAAGAGATGGAGATGGAGGGGCCTTCAATGAGAGAGAGGTGAAAGATGAGGCCAATTTGGGAACCGCAGAATGAGCGGAGAGGTCCTGGGAGGGGAGGACGGGGAGCTGAAGGAGGCAGCGGTCAGCAGGGAGGAGAGCAGACGTGTCCACAGCTGCTCGCAGGGAAAGCAGGTGAGCAGGGCCCCGAAGGATGAAGGTGATGCCTCTGCAGCAAGCCATCCTTGTCATCTGGGAATGCGAGCCCTGAGGCATTCCAAAAATATTTTAAATAAATGTGCTACAAGCATCAAAATATTGAAGCCATTGTTGTCACACTGCGGCTTAGTTGCTATGGAGGAACTCAGCTCCAATGGGAGACAGGAAATGAGCCCCAAATGGGCTGGTTTAGGGTTGGCATCAGGGAGAGGGTTCTCTGCCCAGAGCCCAGCATGAGGGAGGCTGGAGCCAGACAGCATCCCACCACCCAGCTGTGCTTCCCGAAAATCACCTGGACTGGGTATCCTCTGTTTCCGGAGACACAGAGCTAACAGGGAAACTGAGGCCCAGAGAAGGGGAAAGACTTGCCCATGATCACAAACAAGGTAATGGCATGGGTGAGCCCGTGCCCCGAGTGTGCTGCTCTGGGCCCAGAGGTCTTCCCAGCACAGTCTGTTTCCCCTTCAAGACCCCATTTTGCCAGGCATTTCACAGCTGGCTCTGCCTCAGAAGGCAGTTAACCCCCCAAGTATGGTGACTTCCCACGCCAGGCAAGTGAGAAGTGGGGAGCCCCCTGAGCCAGAGAAGAGGCCCTTGTTTGTTCTGCCCACTCGCACACAGCGCCCCGTGAGCACACCTGCGAGGGTCCTCTCTCCTGAATTCCAGACAGACACTGCCTCCCGCTGGTCCTTACACCTGCCCTCCCAGCCCTTGCTCAGGCTGATCCCTCTGCCTGAAGTGCCCACCCCATTCGGTGCCCTCTTATCCAGTTTTTGCAAAGCTGCTTATTCTTCCATCCTGGCTTACAGAATGCCCCTGGCTATGTCCTGTGTGCTGGCTATGCACTCAGCCCTGGGTAACCACCTGACATCCTGCCCACCATCGTCTCTCCTCTGAACAGCTGCAACAGGCTTCTAACAGGTCCCTACCTCATCGCTGTTTCCCTCTCAGCCCTGGGCTAATCCTATAAGCCACTTACTGGGTCGCAGGCAGCGTCTTCTCTCCTCTTCCCCTGGCTCGCTACCTCCCTGCCATGAGGACCCCCTTCAGTTCCCAGAATGCCCCATCTTTCCTACTTCAGCCCCATCATACCTACGGTGTCCTGCCTAGAGGGTCCTTGTCCCACTGCTCACCTAGCCTCCTCCTTCCCTCAGTTCTGCAGAGAGGATGTTAACGACCCCCCAGCCCTAACCGAGTTAGGTGCCCCTGTCCTCACTCTGAATTAACAGCTGATACTTTTCCTCACTGTCATTATTCCCCATTCTGATCGCATTTCCCTTTGTGAAACTGTTCAATGCTTGCCTCTCCCACTAGACCAGTGGTTCTCAACCTTCTGGCCCTTTAAATACAGTTCCTCATGTTGTGACCCAACCATAAAATTATTTTCGTTGTTACTTCATAACTGTAATGTTGCTACTGTTATGAATCGTAATGTAAATATCTGATATACAGGATGGTCTTAGACGACCCCTGTGAATGGGTCGTTCGACCGCCAAAGGGGTCACGACCCACAGGTTGAGAACCGCTGCACTAGACTGTCAGCTTGGTGTGGGCGTGGCCATGCCTATGAGTTTCCCACAGTATCGGGAGCGCCTCACACTGCTCCTGGGATATCCGAGGGACTCAGCAAGTATCTCAAAGAGTGAGTGAGAGAGTAAAAGCTGAACCCCAGCCCCCGGGGGCCCCCAGACTGGGTGGGTATGAAGAGTGGAACTGAGTGTCTGAGTGGGGAGAGATACTAACCCCCAACAGAGATTCCTTCTTGGGGCTTCCAGAAAGATCAGCCAGCAATGATGGGAGCACGCGGTTCACTCACCTCTTGCATCAAAGAATTCATCATCCGAGCTCTCCACTGAGTCGCTGAGGACATTTCGAAGGTGCCAGGGGGCACCGCCGCCCGGGGTGGGGCCACCTGCCAAAGGGAACACACCTGTTAACCAAGCCTGAGACCAGCACGAAGGAGGTACACCGGGCGGCCCTGGACCCAGGGTCCGTGGTTGTCCGGCATGTCCCTGCCCTCTCCCCGCTGGTGCTCAGACCCCACAGAGCCCTCCCACGGCCACGGTTTCATTTCAGCCCATACCTTTCTGAGATAGCACCGCGGGGGGCAACAAGTGTGCCCGTTTTCTACGCCCTAAAACGGAGCCCGAGGCAGTTAGGGGAGGGTCAAGGTGCCACAGTGCATCAGGAAGCATAAGGTAAGTTTCCCCGTGTTAACACATGATCTCAGCTGCCTAAGACAACAATGGCTGGTTTCTCACTCACACACACTGGTTGGAGGGGGGCTTGTTCATGGCGGCCACCTTGTGATGCCATCATCTCAGAAGGAAACCCCAAAGCCTGCTGAAGCCGGAGAGGAGAGCAGAGTCACACCCAGTCAGAGATGCTCCTTCCCGCAGGAGGCGCAGTGCTGCGCGCATTTCATTGGCCGGAGCCAGTCCCGTGGCCACGCCCAACCTCAGGAGAGCGGAAGGTTGGGGCAGGCGAGGGGGGTGGGGGGGGGAGCAGACACCTGATGAGCACCAGTAGCATCCACCACACACAACTGTGCAGGCCAGGCCAGGGCTGCAGCCTCGGGAGAGAAATCCCCGCCCTAAGACCAGGGCCTGAGCTGGAGCTCTGCCCCATCTCTGTCACGTGCAAGCCTTTCCCTTTCCAGACGGCAGCCTCGGTTTCCCCATCTATAGAAAACTGACAACCCTAAACGTGAAAGATCAGAAAGAGTGCATGTTTATAGCCTGTATCTCAGGAGGTGCTGGCATGGCAATTGCTATTATTCTTAATATCTACAGAGGCCAGGGCATGGGCGGAGGGGTTCTCTGGAGCAGGGAGGAGCAAGGGCACACAGAGAATGTGGCCCCTTCCCTGAACTCTGCCCCAACCCCACTCCTGCCCCTGGACCAGGGAGGGGAAAGCCAGCGACAGAAGCCTCTTCCCACCCCCACTCCCCCACCCCCTCCCACCCCCCGCATTGTCTGCCCCCTCCACAGGCACTTTGGGACTCATATGCAACCAGCTGGTGCCCAGCACATCCACAAACCTCTCTGCATGCTCTCCTGACACATGAAATACTGGGGACTGCAGATGGATTAAAATCTAATTGTAAAAATTAAAACCATAAACGTGTTGGAAGGAAATTGACCTGGTAATTTTCCTGAGGAAATAATTAGAGAAGTACACAGAGATGGAAGTATACAGTGGATCCGCTCAGCGTTCTGGTAATAACAAACAACTGGGAGAAATGCCATAGGGGACTGGAAGTCTGTTCAAATACCGTCATAGGAGAATTCTTTGCAACTATTCGAAAAATAAAGTAGCTCCTTAGGTACTGACATGGAAAGGTGCTAATGGAGTATGGTTAGGAGAAAAATATTGCAGGCAGATCCCAGAACCGTATGTTCCTTTGGACCTCGCTTTTGAAAGACATACCGTACTCATATCTGCATATCGAGGATACGAGCAGCAAGTTAGTTAAGAGCTCAGGCCCTGAGGTTGAAGGGGCCTGGATTCAAGCTCAGGCTTCGCCTCTTTGAAACTGTGAGATGTCAGGTAAGTCCCTTTATCTCTCTGGGCCTCAGTGTCCTCAGCTATAAAGGGAGGATAGTTCATACCTGCCTATGAGCCTGTTGTAAAGATTAACTAACATGCCTCAGAGTGCTTAGCACAGGGCCCAGCATATAGCAAGTGTTCTCAACAATAATTACTGTATAAATATACTTACAGATGCATTAACATGTCTCGAGGACATGCGCCAAAAATGTCAATAGAGATTATCTCTACTGAGTAGAATTTGATTAGAAGAGGCAGGGAAAACTCGGTTGTTACACTGCACGTGTAATTTTATATGATTATCGATTTTATGAATTCATCTTATTTTATCAATCCTAAGATGCACATTTTTCACACATTATCATCTTTAAAATTGGGGTGCATCTTACAAGATGGTGTGTCATAATTTAATTGGCATTGTTTATTGCTTCTCAGGGATCTTATAACTGGTGCGCCTTATAATTAATTGTATCTTAGATGCAACAGAAAACAGTGAAACCACCAGGCCCACAGGGTATATCTTCCCTGAGGCTTCAGCCCTGGCCACCAGGCACACATGTCCTGTCTCCAGAGAGACCTGGGCTCCTGTATCAGCAAAGCCCCTGCCTCGGTTTCCTCATATGTACAATGAAATCCTTGACAGAGGCAGTCCCTTGAAATTTTTCAATTCTGACTGATGTTTGAGGAGCCCATCTGGCACAATAAACAAGTGAGAGGCGGACAGCCCTTCTCTCCCCTCCACTCGTGCCACAGCTACAGTTCACATTACGATGAAGTCCTTGGAGAACCTACTGCAGCTTCCGCTCACCACACCCTGTCACCCTGCAGCATGCCAGCACTGTTCCCTGCCCTGAGCCCAGATCTCAGAACATAAACTGTTCCTGAAGCAAGAGGCCAGCCCAGGTCAGCCCAGGGCCGCAGCCCTCCTGCCTGTCCCTTCTACCCCACCCACCACCAGCTGCCAAAACCACACCCAGCTTGAACTCCATGGCTGGGAGCCAGGCAAAAGCATGCTCTGAGACATAAAAAAGGCAGAAGTCACAGGGAACACTGATCAGAAGTCACCTCTGGATGCAAAGCTGGGTCTTCCCCACGCTCCCCATGAGGACCCTCTAACCTTCTGATTCTCACCCACCAGTGTCGACAGCTTGACAGGCTGGTCAGCAACTTCCTACCCCTGGGCCCTGGATTTGCTGTAAGGGAGTTTGAGAATCCAGATGCACCATAACTGAGTATTTCTAATGGGGATATGGGACTGTTTCCCAAAGGAATGTGGAAGAAGTCTGAGCTAGTGCAATTAGACAAGAAAAAGAAATAATATGTATACATATATTGAAATAAAAAATAAAACTGTCTTTATTCTCAGATGGCATGGTATTCTATGTAGAAAATAAAAAATCCACAAAATCTATTTTAAAACCCCACTAAAACTAGTAATTGAGTATAGCAAGATCCCAAGATACAAGATTGATATGCAAAAGTCAATTTCACTCCTCTATCCCAAATGAACCATTAGAATTTGAAATTTAAAAACCAACACCATTTACAACAGCGCACAAAAATCAACAAAGTGAAAAGAAGCGTTGGATATAAATCAAATGTACGTGCAGGTTTCTGTGACTCAAAAAATACAATCACTTAAATGTAACTTCTTTCTGAATTTAGCACATTTATATGTTTTCTCAAGCAACAGCTACTAAAGATATAAAAACGATCACACATTCTTTAACACGCAAATATCCCTCGCTGTCCAAATCTGTTCCATTCCTAAGAAGCAAGAACCTGGAGGATCAGGACAGTCCCATTATCCTCACCTACTTGGTTCCTGAGTGCTGGGTGGAGAGCAGCAAGAGCTTAAGTGGTGACAGGTTCATCTGAAGGTTCATCTGAGTCTATTTGGTCCCTGAGTTTGAAGAGCGAGGGTTCAGGGAGGAGTTCCTGGATATGGTGACCCTCATACCTGTACAGCACACACTCCACCCAAGAACAAAGATGAGGTCGTTCCTGCCAACCTCCCCCTCACAAACAGCATGTGCGGGACAGAGCCTGAGGGAAAGAGGAGAGAAAGCTCTTCCCCCACCGCATCCATCTCTCAGGCCATTGTCCCAGGTCACTACAACACTGGCAGCATGGGTGCTGAGCTGGCCATCATGGGCGTCCCAGTGGGAGAACCGGGCAGGTGGAGGCTGCAGGGAGGCCAGTCCAACACGATCTGAAAGAGATGTTTGCCCGGCTAGAGGTTGACAAAGAGGGAAGGGTTTTTGGGTGTCAAAGGGATCTGCCCATCACGCAGGCACTGTGTTAGGTTTGGGGAATATTAGGGATAAAGTGGGGCCCTCACAAAGCATACATTCATGCAGGGGGTGCTGGGGGAGATAGGCCTGGAGAAGTGGACAGCAAGGATAATTTCAGCAGGAGAAAGTGCTGTGCAGAAAAGAAAACCTCTCCCTTCTTGTCTCCACCATGTCCTCCCTCCTCAAGCCTAAAGGGTAGGCTGGTGTGAACACAGGGGTCTGTACATCCACGTGAGAAAGATCAGGGCAGTCAGCCCCAGGCATCAAAAGAACAGTCACCTACTGGTATTTGAGTTACAAACGCTGAACTGACACTGAGTCTCCTTTCCGATGGCCAGTCACCTGATTGTTGACTCTTCTTTGTGCTCAAAATCTGTTTGTGAATTTCTTTTTTCAAAAGCATATTTTATCTTGTTTACTGCCATCCTCCTTGTTTTCAAAATGCACTGGTTTTTATTTTATTTATTTTTTGTTGTTAATCCTCACCCAAGGATATGTTTTCCATTGACTATTTTTTTAAGAGTGGAAGAGAGGGGCAAAGAGGGTGAGAGAGAGAGAAACTTCGATGTGAAAGATGTGAGAGACATGGATTGGTTGCTTCCCACATGAGCCAGGCATCAAACCTGCAACTAGGCACATGCCCTTGAGCGAGAATCAAACCTGCAACCCTTCCATGCATGGGCTGATGCCCTAACCACAGGGCACACCGGCCAGGGTAAAATGCACTGGTTTTTAAACATTTATACTAATAACAGAGGAATATGCAAATTGTCCAGGACACCATCACAGTAACAGTAACGACCAGCAGGCTGCATGGGGCGACAAGGCCAGCAGGGGGGTTAGTGAGGGACAACCAAACGACTGAACAGCAGGCTGTGTGGGGTGACCAGGCTGGCACAGGGGGCAGTAAGGGCGAGGCCGGCAGGGGGCGCAATTGGGGGCAACCAAGCCGGCAGGGAGGGGGCAATTGGGAGCAACCAAGCCGGCAGGGAGGGCAGTTAGGGCGATCAGGCTGGCAGGGGAGGAGGGCAGTTAGGGGCGATCAGGCAGGCAGGCAGGTGAGCAGTTA